ATACAGGCTTCACAACTTTTTCCTTTGTCATCAACTTTTGATGCAGATGTAGTTCAGAAATGTCATTGGCCATTTTCTCCCCCTGCTGCTTTTCGACTGCATTTTCAGAGACCGTAGATGCTAAAGGGGAGCTAGAAGATTCGCAGGTGTAGGAGCACTTACTTCAGCAGAGAATTCTTTTCCTATTGAATCACTTTGCTGCTTTCGTAACTCAGTAACATAGTGAAAGACCAGAGGAGAATGACAACTTGAAGGCCAAAAAGAAATGGAAAACAGGCGAAATGGAAGTGAACTGGAATGAGTTTGTACTCCAGTCTCTTTAATGTTTGTTTAATTGTGTAAGACGAGAGGGTGAGAGATTGGGATTGATTTGGATCTCCTGACTCGCCTTCACTGCTCTTTTGGGATATAGCCTGCTCTTCTAGAGAATGGTGATGGTCACAAGTACAACATAGTCATTTCGGATACATTCTAATACTTTAACGACTCCGCACCTGTGGGTCTAAATTTGAAGGAGGGGAGTTTGGGGCACTTGTGGCTTGGTTAGAGCCATTTTAAGGGTGATTTTTTTTTTTTCCAGAACCAAGATAGCATCATTTTGTTATAGATTTGGTGTAACAGGGTATCTTGTTACCCACTCAAAAATGTTTAGTTGGCCTAGGAACCCAGTGGAATCTTTTTAGACAATAGTCATTGCTTTCGAATAGACAAGAATCTCAGATGATTACCTAACTCAACTGTTTTATCAGTCTCTCCCCTACCCCTACTTCATCCCATCCATACACGATTTACCAAAACCTAATCCCCCTACAAGGATCAGAAACAAGTGATACCAAATGTCAGAAAGTGTGTTCCCCTTCGAATGCCAATTAAAGTACTCTGGCCTATATAATTTAGTTTGAGCTTCTTGACGAATGAGTGCTTTAGGGAGGAGATTGATTTTCACCAAGTGTGGTGCATGTAAATATATTATCCTGAATTCTAAAGTCATTCTGAAAAAAAAATATGAAGGGCTGCATTTTCTTTGGAAACATTGTATTCCACAGATAACATGAATATTAAATTATTTGGTCTTCACATCTATTGTTTGGATAGAAAATGCGTATTTTTTTATAAGCTTTCTTTACCATAAGCAGCAGGTTCTCGTAAGGTGGCATCACTATGTATTTGCATTGTTATAGAATTAAATTATGGATTCTGTCATTCAAAAAAGAATGCCTTATAAATCAACAAAAATCTCATAACTGAGATGAATAAGTTTCTTTAAATCTCCTGCTGCCTCATAACTTCAACCTGATGTAATTTTAAAGTGTAATTTCTTTTTTCTCTTCCTGTGTACTGTTTTTACTTTGAAAATAATGTCATCAGTTTTTCAAGAAAAACCTTAAATTACTATATGTAACATATCTGTATAAAAGCACAGAAGTGTGTTAGTTCTTTGTCAATGTATAAGCAGAAAATTTGTCAATACACTGATTCTCTCATTGCATTCAATGAAAGTGATATTAAGGACCTCATTGTAAAAAATGAGAAAATTTCATTTTTTTCTTTTTGCTTTAATTCATCTTTTTATAGTTCCTGAGTATAAAAGAATCTCCTCATTATTACACACACATATATGTATTTGAATTTGTATGTATATGAATTATACACATTATATGCATTACATAATATGCATACATGCTTCATATTCTATACATACAATTTAATATTTTACACCATAATATTTACATTATAATATGTGTGCAATGTAACGTATATGCATGTCTAATATATGTATTTGTAAGATACACATATTATAATATATGTACATATCATATGTGTATTTACATAATATACGTATATATTTTTTGCTGGAGGAGTTGCTGATTGTAAGAAAAAGCAGTCTAGATTGCTTTTCAATCCTACAACAATCTGGTCAGCAGCTGCCACATTTCTTCTCTCACTTTAGCTGTGTAACTGCCTTAAAACATAAGGATTGGGCAATATCTGAGTATGAACAAGATGAAAATAGCCAAAGGAGAAGGAAGGTCGGGAGTCAGTTATTTCGATCTGATTAGGGCACAGGATCTCCAAATGCAGCTGCAAATGGTAATAAAAAGGATTGAAAGTCAGAAGGGAGGTCAGAGGTAAAGCTCGAGCTTTCAGATCTGAACAATTGCAAAGATGGGACTTTGGAACAACTTCGTTTCCCCAGGGAAGAGATTAAAGATGAGAGAAAAGGATTTAGGCCTGAGCTTTGGGGAAATTTTTAATGTTAGAATGTGGAAAGAGTAAGAGAGACCCCAAAGATGACTGTAGAAGTTACCGAGTGCAAATGCCGCCTCCTGTTGCATTCTGACCCAGGTAACCTGTTATATAGAATAGCCGGTCTTGATACTAAATGCCTTGTGACTTTGCTTTGATGCAGTTCACATGGTACAAGTAAATGGAAGCTTATTGTTTTTCTTGAGCCACATTCATGGAGATAAGGTCTCTATTACTGGAATTCTTGGCATGTATGATGCTTTCATATAGTGCTTGTATGTGCTGAAACTATGTAATTACTCTTAGGACACTTAAAAATTCAGGAAAAGAAGATTATAATGCCATTCTTCACTCTTTCTTTCAAGAAATTCCTTTCCCAGGATTTGCCAGAAACTTATACAGGCGCACTGAAACTAAGATGCCATATAATTTTTAACTTAGTTATTTTAAAATAAATTAATCAATAGGAGAAGCAAAAGGACTAACTCAACAATTTAAAAAAAAACCAATAACACATCTTTTAATTTCTCAGATAGCTTGATGTGCAGCATGAACCAGGGGCTGAAGAAGGAGTGATGTGTAATGAGAAAAGACAGATAACAATAGATTTTTGAAAGCTGGCAGCCAGAGGGTTGCCCTTAAAGAGGAACTACTTGATGCCTATATCAGCAGCTTCTTTTCCCTTGGGGAATGATAGTTCAGGTTAACTTGATTACCTGTGGGTCTTTTGTTTACTGACTAATCACTGTCCCAGCCAAGAGGTCCTCAGATGTGACAGCAAGCCTAGAGAAGAGAGCAGAGCATGCACGTGGCCAGTTCCCTTAGGCATGTATGCTGCCTGAGGCTCCGTCATTGCCCACCAAGAACTCCCATCAAGGCAGTATTTCTGTTTTACAACTTCCACTCTCTGATACCTGACATTGGTCTGTCTTGGTCCATTTCCTTTTCCTAAAGAAAACTTGCTTCTGAGATGGCTTTTGCTTTTGGCTGACTGCTGCGTTGCATCCAGAATGCCCTAGCAGAGTTTTGTTCTCAAATCACTTAGTTTCTACCTGCAGCACAGCCTCTTGCTGAGAGAAGCCAAACAACAGAGCCATTTAATTTAACGTGGTTAGTGGGTATAGGGTCCAGTCAGATAAGAGGAATAAATTCTAATATCCGATAGCACAATAGAATAACTGATTGACAACAATTAATTGTGTATTTTGAAGTAGCTACTAGAGAGGATTTTTTTAATGTTCCCAACATTAAGACATGATAAGTGTTTAAGATACGGCCACACTAATGGGCCAATCTGACCATTTTACATTGCATATATATATTGAAGTGTGTGGTGCATAAATAGATATAAGTGTTACATGTCGATTAACAACCCTACAATATTTTAAAGATTGATGAGCACTCCAAAAATGAGCAGTTGCAGTGTATCTGAATTGGCATTATATGCTCCATAAAAGATTTGAAGAACACGCCTTGAATTTCAGTAAAATTATAAGAATGTTTTTAATGGTAACATAACTAAATATGGCGAAGTAATTGTGTAAATCATTGAAGCATTGCAAATAAAGGGAATACACATCATGTGTTGAATGGAAACACATACTGAACAGACTTTTTTCCCTCCTGGGATTCAGAATGTCTAGTCAAAAAAAAAAAAAAAAAAAAAGAAGAAGAAGAAGAAAAGAAATTGCCTTTTAATCTCTCCCTCTTGCTCCCCCATAACCTGATGTACTATATATAATCTTAGTATCTGTGGGAAGGGGAAAAAAATAATCATTTGCCTTTGTCTTAAAAAGCTTGTGATGGACCTTTTGGCCAAGATAAGATAATCTTTAGCTCCTTTGTATATTGTTCATGAATTCAAAATAACAATAGGTTACATTATGACATCACAGTAAGCACCTGCAACAGAGACATTCTTTGCTGCCACATTGGTGGACACCATAGCCAACAGTGGTACCAGCACTTGGGTGACACTAAAGGTATGTTTGAGTCTACAGAACTGACATGTTATTCTGTCGTGCAAGTGTTTAACCCCTCAATGAAACTAAATAACTCTGAAATATGTTTTAGTCTCAACTGTCAAAGTGATCTAGGGCCATTGCTTGTAGAAGCTAATGAACAACAAGGAACGGCAGCTAAAGGAATTCACTCTTAGATTAATAGAACGTCATCGGATTTCCTCACATTGAATGGGTTTGGGGAAAAAAGAGCTTTGGAGCCTAGACTGTCCTGACTAATACAGTCCAAAATTTACATAATTCTGCATGTGTAGCTATTAAGTGGTAGTCTTAATTATTTGTAAATCTAAATTACTAATCTTGCTTAATTTGACAGTGCATTTTACAGGATATGTTGCATTTTTTTAATGTATAGTAATATAATGTGCTATCCCTAGTATTTTATATTTTAAATAAAAGTTGATGCATCTCAAAGTTAAAATAGAGTGCTAAGAGAATGTGTTTTGAATCAGATAACTGGATTTGAGTTTTTCTGACTTTGTAACTTTGCAATTGAGGATTCACACATGTCACTGGCCTTTCTTTGCCTCTGCTTCCTCACCTCAAAGATGAAGATTATAAATGATTCGTTTTACAAGATGAGTGTGAAAATTAAAAGGCTTAATTCTGTGAAGCATTTACTGCAGTTGCTCTCACCTGCTAAAAGCTTAATTTATAAACTTTTGCTATGTTTGTAACCCTATCAGATTTTTAGAAAAACTAAAGAAAGCCTATCTGGTTCCCCATTATCAGGGCCGGTGTACTCGAGACAACTGCAAGTACCTGCACCCCCCTCCACACCTCAGATCGCAGCTGGAGGTTAATGGGCGCAACAATCTGATCCAACAGAAGACTGCCGCAGCCATGTTCGCCCAGCAGATGCAGCTTATGCTCCATAACGCCCAGATGCCATCACTTGTGAGTCACAGCTGTAACTTTGACAGTTACCAGCAGGGGTTTTTTGACAAAAGTATTTATTGAGCAGAGAGAGATGGGGATAGGCAAAGAGAGAGTGTGCGAACGAGTAAGAGTGAGAACCAGTGAGTCTACACTGCTCTGGTTAACTTCCTAAATGCCTGTGACAGCCAGGGCTGGACTAGGCCAAAACCAGGAGTGGGGAACTCTAGCCAGTCCTCCCGTGTGCATGATGGGGACCTAATTAATTGAGCCACCATGGCTGCTTCCAATAGTCTACGTTACCAGGAAGATGGAACCAGGGGCAGGACTGGGTATCGAACCCACACACTTCATCATCTTAAAAGCTAAGACAAACACCATCCCACAGATATGTCTGTGAAAACTGCAGTTGCCTTTTTTTTTCCCCTAAGAGCACATGGCTATGTTGGAATAACCTTCAAAGGCCTTTAAGAAGGTCCTTATGGGTTTTAGGGTGCCAGCTTATATATCTAAGTTGGCACAAAAGAGTAGTACTATTGAAGGGAGCAATCAGGTGTGTTGGACTGTAATTTTGGTTGTATTTATACATGAGTTCAGTTTAATCAGATCTCAGGATGAAGGTGTTTTTTAAGATCATCAGATTTGATTATTATTATATGTAAATTTTTGGATTCGGATATTAATTCACATGGAATTCTCTGTTCTTTGATAGGAGTTTTGATGGGTTCTTATTTTGAAATAACTTTGGAGGTATTAAAAAGTTGCACAAGTGGTCAGGGAGTTTTTCTGTTACTATTCACCCAGTTTCCCTCTATCAATACTTTAAATTACCATGGTAGTTTTGATTAAAAAAAAAAAACAACAACAAAATGACATTAGCACATTATTATTAACTATATTGGCATGATAGTAGATGATTGTTTCATCTTAACCTACATACAATTTCATTTTGCAGGTATTAAGAATATGGTATCATTTGAGACAAGTGTCTAGTGTTTTATGGATCAGTGAGTTTAATGGATCCTTTAGAAAGTAATGAAGCTGTATGTGTTCATACTGTCCTGTCAGAGGCCATCTTGTCCTGAGAGATTTAAATATAATGCTGTGTTCTGGTTCCACCCCTCTCAAGAGGAATGCTAATCACCCCTTTTCTGCTACAATTCTTCACATCTCGAATTCAATTCAGTCGTTTCTCATTCTAATTCCATCTATTGTGCTTCATTTAAACCATTAACAAAATCTATTTAGAACATTTTCTTACCTTTGTTATCCACTCAGAGAGAGAGAGAAAGAAAGATTGTCGATGCAGTGCACATGTAAGAGTAGGGTATTCTGGGCCCAGCATGGTAGCCTAGCAGTGAAAATCCTTGCTTTGCATGTGCCAGGATCCCATATGGGCTCCAGTTTGTGTCCTGGCCACCCCCTTTCCCATCCAGCTCCTTGCTTGTGGACTGGGAAAGCAGTTGAGGATGGCCCTAACCTTTGGAACCCTATACCTGCGTGGAAGATGTAGAAGAAGGTCCTGGCTCCTGGTTTTGGATTGGCTCAACTCTGGCCGTTGTGCTCACTTGGGGAGTGAATCAGCAGACGAAACATCTTCCTCTCTGTCTCTCCTCCTCTCTGTGTATCTGACTTTCCCATAAAAATAAATAAATGTTTTAAAAGAAGAGTAAGGTAATTGGCTCTCAGCAGAGCCTATCATAAAATTAATTTTCAGAATTCAAAATGATCTGTGTTGATATGATACCCTTTAATTAGTACACCATTAGAGCATATAAAAACAAAAGGGCATTTATGAGTCGCTGAAGTTTTGTACCATATTATTCATCCTCTGTAATATCTAGATTTAAGTATAATAAATTTCAAATCCTATACTGTTAGTTTGCCAGGAAGTATTACCTTGAAACTCAGTGCTGTTTCATTTATTATGTTGGAAGTCATCAGTGAACTCTTCAAAACTTCTCCTTCACCCCCAATAAAACTTTATTCTCATGGCTAAGCTTCGTGTTCGAACTCTTCCCTGGACTTTGACACAGTAACATAGCTGAACTCCCTCCTTGTTTCTAAGGGAAAAGAGAAAAGAATGCCTTCTAGCCATCGAGAACAGTATGAACAGAACCCCAGAGACTGAGTAGATGGGGAACAAAAAGAACTTTCATCTTTTCTGCTTCATTGAGCCATAATTGACAAATAATACAGGGGATATCTTGAAGATGTTTTGGAAAATTATGCAGGCATTTTAGAAGCGTTTGACAGCAAAGTAAACATTTTTGGATTCCATTTTTCATTGAAATGTTTTAATTACTCCTTGTATGTCTAAGATCTACAACCGGATGTGTTGATATACGTGTACATCCCGAAAGGAGATGACATAGATGCAGTTGTGGTGACATTACTTGAGGTGAGATAAGCCAGACAGGGACAGATAAATAGTGCATTCTCTAACCTTTGTGCTTAATCATTTAAAAAGCTGAACTTCTAACTGCAGAGTGGAGAGGTAATTGCTAGAGGCTGGGGTTGGTGAACAGGAAGATGTTGGGTAGAGTTTGCTACAGCAAAGGAGCTTTTAGCTCACCATCATTATTTTTACCACTGTCACAGAAGGTCCCAACTTCAGACTGAGTAAGGAATAGGAACCAAAATTGCTTATCAGCTACCTTATCCCAAGGTATGCTGTAGCACTGGGGCATGCATAAGTTAAGGGACAGCGTTTAGGGGCCTAGCTCAATGCCCTGCTTCAGAGAATGGGAAAGCTGACCAAAGGTAAAGTCATGCGAAGTCACCTGTGCACCTCCTCTTCAGTCCCTGCTACAGCTTCCTCATTTCTAGTCTTAGCCCTTCCTGCAATGTTGGTCCTGCTGACTCACCTTGGAGAACAGGGAGTGACTTTTTTAGAATCCCCTGAGAAGTTGATTTTTTCAGCATCTGTGCTTTCTAATTTGATTTCCCTCATGCTTACTATAATAGAATAGATTTTTTTTTTTTTGTTTTCTTCATGGAGGGTGATTGCAGATTGCTGAGGATAACTGATATGACTCACAGGGACACAGTTTATTTTCTAGCCTGTCACAGTACAAGGCATTACTTCAAAGCCCACAGGGAACAATTGGAAGGTGTTTTTCTGTCTCATAGATCATTTAACGACAGTTTTTGTGATGTGATAAACTGATAAAAGATGAATTTGTGCAGTTTTAATCTATACAAAATATCTAGCCCGGAGATAGCTGATATACTCCTATTCAGTGGTCTGCAAAGCTGCTTTGTAAATGTGCTGCAACTGAGCTAGACTGAGATATTTACAGTTACATTTACCAGTGTGACTTGGGAAAAAAATTCTTCAATATGAATTCTCACATTATTGCAGAACTTATGTATAATTATGTTTCGTTCCCCTGGTGCCTGCTCTCTCATGAGCATCTCTCTGTCCCTTGAAATCACCTTACCACCGCCAAGAATCAGATGCCTGTCCTTAAAATACTCCAGCTTTTGTTTAAAAAATTCCCAATCCTTGTATTTGTGTGCAGGGCCTTCAGAAACTTCATGGAAAATTTGCATACCCTTTTAATGTCATTTTCCATGAACTTTAGAAAGTGCCTCCTGTGGTTACATATCTGTGTCAATGACTTGAACTTCAGACCTTCACAAAGCATACTTTGACTGTTCCTAGGATACCAGAAGAGCACATCTATCTTTGAAAAACTGAATATGGTTTGCGTATGATAAGCCTTAGATAAAGTGAATGTCAACCTAAATGGGATGGCAGTGTAGAGAACAGATTCTATTCAGTGTGACTGAACAATGAATAAAAGCCACACCTAGTCAATTTTGGTGGAATGCTTGGGGTAGCAGGTAAGTTGGTTCACTGCCTTTGATAGGTCTCGGCCGACATTTGCTAGTGTAAAATTGCATCTCTGAAAGCTTTTTTGCTGCCTTTATTATAGAAGCTTAGCAAGTGAAACAAAGGGTGTGACTCCCTGGGATTGTTCATTGGAGCTTAAGGGAGGTTTCCTTTGTGATGTTCATGGCAAAAAGCTAGAGGTTTAAGACTGTCCTTCAGCATAATTAGGAGGCAAGCGTGAGTACTGTAGAGGAACAGTAGGAAAGGTAGGCTCACTGCATTACTCTGTGACAAAGCTGCAGTTGAAAATTTTCTCTTTCACAACCAGAGAATTTCCTTATGAGGAAGGTTTTTCACTCCCAGCCGTGGTGTATGTATGCATCAAGTATATGCAATGCTATAAGGCTGTTAAAATATTTACTTATACACATTTTGCATATCTAGACCACATCTGGGAAATTCCTTTAGCTTTCCTCCTTGAATGTGGTGCTTTCACATGGAAGCAGCTCCGGACACACAGGCGAATTTAATCCTGTTGCGTGTATTCACCTGGTGATGTCTGCAGAGGGTGTCAGCACATTCGGGGTTTCAGTGGGGTGTGCCACGCCCTCTGGTGCTGCAGCATGCTTTTCATGGTCTGCTTTCCTGTGCTCAAGTTATGGAACACCACACTATGAAGGCAATAGGGTTCCACTTCAGGGATTTCCTGAATCCCAACTTGAATCATCCTATGTCTGTCTGAACCCCAGCACACCTTTCTACATCATTTCATTATGTTTGTCACTAATATGATACATAAACATGCTGATATGTTTATCTGACAGTAAATAGTAAGGAATGAAGGTGATGTAACACTTCAGAACCAAAAAGGGGGGAAAAAGAGAACAAAACAAGAGTTTCAAGTAGATAGGAAAATGGAAGATTAATAGTAGTTAATGAATAATATTAATTTTAGACTCCAGTGTTTCTGATGGTCTTCTTCTTTAATGAAACAACAGCTGTGAGTTATTCGGTTAATCTTTGGAACCTTGGACTTGAATGGATTGAAGTAAAAATAGAATTGAAACATACTTGCTGTTTTTTAAAATGATATTGAGAGGCAGGGGGACTGAGACTGCTCCCACCGACAGGGTCACTCCAACAATATCTGTGATGTCCTGGACTGAACCGGGGACCATGCTGA